TCGCACTCTGTTGACTGTTTCCAGCACACACACACACATACACTCCACATACAAACGGTCGTTTTTTGACGTGATATTCAAACAACAGATGCGTAGCGCATCCGATCAATCACATTTCATTTCACTCATCTCGCAAGAACACCGTTTCTCACGGTGTTTTCTCTCTCTTGTTAACGCAACTGTCTTTATCCTTTAATTCGAGAAAATATAGCCGACCTGGTTCGGGAAGCGGTGCATTCACTCTGCAGTTGCAATCGGAACTGGTTTGAACTCTGTGTCGACAATTCTGCTGAACGCCGTGCATTTACAGCAATCTTCGGAGAGATTAGTCACACGCAGGACTAAGTGATACAAGAGTTAGCGGAACTCAGTTGCATTGTTGTGAATTAAATAAATAATCTGATAAACCCATTTTAAAATACATAAATTTGGGTTTCAACTCACTTCTTTGCGCGGATAACCATTACCCTAACGCTGATATTTGGAAATTGCGCTCCATAAATTAAAAAAATTTGCTCCTTCCGTTTGAAAATTGTTTGCAATTTGTTTGCAAACGTATCATCCCCACTTCACAAGTCACCTCGACTGATGATGTCATCTCGGCTGGTGATAAAACGTTTGCAAACAAATGGCCAAGCTCGGGGCGAATAGATGAAATGGAATTCGGTTTACTCGACCTACGGGAACCGATTTTGATTACCTGTTCAACCAAATTTATATCCAGATCGCTGATTCCTTTTGAGACTTAAATTATTTTCATCAAGGCAATTTGTTCAAATTTACCAATGCAACTCTCTGTGGGAGACTGAAATGTTTAGTCTTACTGGTAACGATCCCCGGGACAAGAATAAAGTTTACTTCGGATAGAATATTCGCCTGTCCCGTCAATAATGGGAACGTTCGGGGACACGGAGTCAGACATATTCTGCCTTCTAAATAGATAACTGTTGTGTATTTATTCATGCTCTCTGTCAGACATGTGTAAACATGTTAAACTGTGTTGTTTGGCCGATTGAGATGTTCAGTAACCTCAGTGGAATTCGAACCCATACACATCGACACTACCTATGAAACATTTCATAAGTTTCGAACCGGACAGATGTACGCCAATAGGAATAGCAAATCTCACGATCAGCACACAAAGCTGACCTCATGGTAGTGTGACGGTGACACTTCGCATTTTTTTAATAAAATAATGGGATCTCAGTCGCTTATTTGCAAATTATCGGCAAAAAGCATGTGTTTCTTTTAACTCATCCTTATTCATTCGCAAAGTTGTATTTTTCTTCTTCTTGACTTGATTCAGGTCCCGTAACGGAATGAAAAGTCTTTGGTAAACATTTTGCCGATTCTAGCCTTGTGTTTGATGCGAACAAACTACAGAACGATGGTGGCGTCATTTCAACTAATGCCCGATGAGCATAGCAATCAAATTTATTCCTAATCCCACTGACAACAAACATGAATGAACTGATTCGATTTTGTCCAGACTTGTTCACCGTGTGCACGTGTTATTACTCTGCCGGAACTCGAGCCGACATATTTCGAGTTGAAAGTTCTCACTTATATCCCAATATGGATGATTGCAATCATTTGTTTGGGGGAATTACCTCGGGGACTGCTAATGGTTCTTGTCGTTTTTTTTTAGATTATATCTCCGTCTAAACGTTGGCCCTTCAATCCTACAATGGATGAAGACATGTGTTAGGTGATATTACCAATTGCAAAGGGGAATACGACTCAGTCCTTGCAGTACGACCGCAGGGAATAAAAATAAGACACTTTTGGATAGGCAGCTTTATACCTGAAAACAAGTTCAAAATCAAGTGAAATAAATCGAACAAAAACGGTGGCGGATCTTAACAACCAAATGAATGTTATCATCACAACAAATTACCTTAATCACCCATCTCCCACTGGTCTCACAACGGTACAGGATGCCAAGACCAGATTGGTCGCCTTAGGAACTATGCGAAGGTAAGCCTACGCAAGTAAACACGTTGAAACACGAGTCCAAATAGATTGTACATGTGCTTTGTACTTACGACTAACTGAAAGTAAATCAGACTCGCTGAATAATCGGTTTGTTGCTACCTGTTTGCTCTGAGTAATATGCTTGGTCAGAGCCAGGCAAATAAATGTCAGAATTATAAAAAATGGACACCTCATCCCTGGTTTGATTCCAGTAACAGGACTCCAGTAAACATCGCAGTTATTGGTTATTAGCAATATTCTTGGCCGTAAATGATGGCAGCTTTCCTTTCTGTGTATTTGTGGGTGTGTGTACTCAATGCAAAACCAAACAGGAACCCCAACCAGTATGCCATCTTTCATTCTCCATCGAGTCACGATAACAATCAAACGATTTGTCGGTGTCATTGGAATCTCACCTATTTACAGGACACAAGCCATGGGCTGTGACAGAAGGACGATCTATCGTTTGATTTCAAACTCGATCGATTGCTGATTGTGCTATGCTCCCATTGTCTAACATTGTACTGAGTTATTGATTCTCGCTAATATGAAGTCACTGCTTGGAAGCTGACCAACCA